CCATTGTGAGTAGATCCCATGGTTTACTACTTCCGGTTTTATTTTTCCAGCGACAGCTGTGTGCAGACACACAATGTATTTGACAAGGCTGGGGTAACGCCCTTCATTCATCATGTACATTTTTCCTGTTAATGCTTGTCTGAGTTACTGCCTAGCGGTTTCATCTCCGTGACCAGACAACCATATTATCGGCTAATAAGCTTTTAAGAGAGGTGTGGCCACCATTTGTTACTCTGTCCAGTGGACATATGGTTGTATCCACCTTTGGGATTGTAATTCCCTTTTGTATTAAAAGTGTGATGGAGCATGGATTGAGGTGTGATTTGATGAGAAATCTCCCACTTTTGATTTTTGGGGAGTGAGGTGGCCCAAGTGGTTAGAGCGTGAATTTACTGACCGGAAGGTCCATGGTTCGAACCCGACCTTTGCCTCTCGACTTCCCCTGTCTAGGCTTGGGCAACCTGGCAGTATCCCACCCCTCGTGCCTACTTCGTGTGGCATGGCAACTAGGCACCGGAAGGGTGCTACAGCTGAACGATTTTTTAGGCATTTCTGCATAAAGCTGCCTCTTATGGTATTGGGGGCAGTTAGGCACCGAAAGGGCGCTACAGCTGGACGATTTTTTTCTCATAGTATTCACGTGCTTCTACTGAACTTCCCTTACCCCCACAGCCTTTGGTGCTCCCCGAAGGTGTTGTTCGGCAAGCCATTGATTACCCGACAGAACCTCCTGATTCAGCCTCCACCGAATCGGACGGACGGTAAGTAGATAATCCCATGGTGGTGAATATTGGTGACTCCAGTTGTATACGATGCTAGGCTTGTAACTTCTGGCTACCAATGTTCGGTCTAGCCATGAATCTGAGGAAAATGGGTTTTCAATTTTCTCACAACGTTTCTTTTTCAGTGCTTCGGTGATGCTGAAACGCTATTCGAAATTGTCTGCTGATGCAGCATGTATCTGTCTTGCTTTGGCACAGCGAATCGCTTCAATGAACCAGCGTGGTGTTCCCGATGGCGAACACAGTCCGGACACAAACGGTTAGTGATTACAGTCCCTCTCGAGTGCATCGATCTGCTTCATGAGATCTACTGTAGACAAATTAAATGGCCTCTTTGGTTGTTCTGTGGAGTCCAGATTGTGGTATCTGAAACAATCCATCCAAAGTGTTCTGGAAGGCGTTCTTAGAACAGCGAATATTCTACTCAATGCAAGAAGTTGTGACTGACGTCATACCCGTTGAACACGCCCATTTCGCGGCGGATAGGTCTTGACACAACAGCGCGAAGCCAAAGTGCCTACTGTCCAGCTGAGCACCCTGAGATCTTCACGCCTTCTTGCATATGGTTAGCAACCTTACTGGACGTTGCACCTAACTGACCTTAGTGGTGATGAGTATGTCAACTCTTAGCCGGATTAACTAGCTGTCTGTCGACCATCACTTGGATTGTTTTGAATAAAGTTCATTCACTTCCACCGATGATGTCTCAGTCAAACGTGGTGCTCAGGCATATCCATTTCAATGCTGTTCGGAAGTGTAGGTCACCACGGCACCTCTGACTGGATTGTTCGGTAAAATGACCATTTTACAACGTGACAATGTGACAAGTTGCCATCCTCTCCTTTTCTTCGCCAACGTCTGAGTGGAACCACTGCTGTGACGATGAAACAACATAGTCTTTTCCAAGTCTCGTGCGGGTGAATTTAGAGATCCTATGTATTAATTTGCAGAGTCTTTTGCCTTAGTGGCTTGTCACACAGTTCGAATAAGAGCTAATCTTGGCGAAATACACTCATTTGCATACCAATTTGGTTTGGACGGGTGACTCACCTGGAACCCAGCTGAATCCCTTGTTTACGATGTTCTTGAGCAACTGAATGTGCTGCAATAGGCCGCGTCGTGTTTCAGTTGGTACAATATTCGGACATCGTGATACACTGTATGGACGTGATGCACTACTCATAAGTTTGCTGAAGGCCGAAGAGTTTTCAGCAACCTTATGAGTAGTGCAAGGGCTACTCTTAGACAGTCGCAGTTGCTCTGAGTGTGGTTCACGACACCACTGGTCCACTTCACACACTGAGAATCAACTGTCTAACTATGCTGATCGGTGGAGGGTCATAAAACCTATTCGTCCTCTGGTCTTAATTCCTCGGAATCACATCGGACCGAAGCATGTTCCGATAATACAACCCACGATAATGCTCTTAACTGGCAGCAAGGCATCGATGTTGAAAACTTATTTTATGCTGTCAATGATGATGATGATGGTGGTGGTGGGTTCATTCACTGAATCCATTCTTAAATATGTCTGCCAACGACTTCCGGTTGGCGGACTTCTAAGTTATGTGACAGCATTATTTCCACTGGAACTACACTTTCTGTTTTTTTCCACAGATGATTTCAACACACTGCTGAACGCCCTGCGAGGACCAGACCAAGAGGATTCTGACGTCGATACGGATTCCTATCGGTCTGGATACAAGATTTTGGCATGTATGTTGTAAATCGGCTAAACACCTTTTTTTTTTTGACAGAAGATTTCAACACACTGCTGAACGCCCTATCCAGCGAGGAGCAAGAGGATTCTGACGTCGATACGGATTCCTATCGGTCTGGATACAAGATTTTGGCATGTATGTTGTAAATCGGCTAAACACCTGTTGTTTACCCTCCGATCAGTCTTATCTCCCCTTGTTTACGTCGGTTACAAGGCTCAGCACAAACCATATGAGACGCAACCCAGTGTTTATAGCTATCTATCGACGTAGTTCGACGTGGCTGGCAAATTCGGAACTGGACGCCAGCCCACATACACCTCGTGATTCCGAACATGTTCTTCTTGGAGGCGTGCGGGTAGCTATCATTCGTCTGTAGTCTGGAAGTTCAGGGTTCCACAAAGACTGACTGCTATAGCCACCCACTACCCAGCTTCTGGACTTCGATCTAAGAAAAAAAACCGTGGTGCTGCAACGAAGCACTGCAATATGACCGTCTATGGATACCGCACACTGGTAAATAGGAGTGGAGACAAACCGTCGAACAAAGACAGTCCGTGAAAATCAACCAGAAATCAATACTGACCAGACAAACAATTTGCGCAGGCCAATACATTGATCGCTGTGTTGTATTAAAACAATCCCACACCCGCCCTCTTTTTCATTTTGTTACGAACCAAAAAACATTTTTCAACGTGCTTCATTGGGCAAGCCAGAGCCCAGGGTTCCATGAGTTCCAGGGAATTATCGTTCTTGCAAAGTATTTTTTAGCTTCAGGACCTACACACATCTCCGGGTAGCGGATATACATGTGTCTGTAAACGAAGATTAGTTACTACAAAGCTCAGGTAGCTGGAATAAAAGTGGTACCATCAAGAAGTTCGCAGCTAGCGACCTAACGTCCATCATAATATCGGATAATCCTGGTACGTATTCTCCTGTGAGGGAAAAGTTTCTTTTGTCTGTACACGCAACAACTGAGTGTTTTTTCTTCAGCAATTACTTAACCGTTTTATAGTTGATGCGGACGCACGTTGAGAATACCCATCTGTGCAACTTGTCTTGTTCTCTGGTTGTCAGGGCAACTCATGCCACACTTGCGGACCATTCACAGTCTTGTTTTTGGTCATACATATTGCCATAAAAACCCAATTAATTGATGACTTCGTTTTATGCCTGAGGATGAATCAGTGTTATCCAGCATAGATTCCTTGGCTGAATTGGCTTATTGCGCCCCTACGAAACTGACGAGAGTGGACCGCTTCACATATCCTCAAACAATTTTTTGGAAGTGAAATCAACTCAACGCTCGCACTGAAGCTTTTCCTATCGTATTTCTTTCCGCTTTTCCTCAGATAAGCTAGCCTGGTAATGATGCATTTATTGTTGTATTATTTGATATATTGTGTTTTGAAGGTGTCTGCGTTCAATAATTCCGTTTGCAGGCTCGCTGGCTCGACTAAATCATGAAGTGGAGCGTCTAGCTAGTGTAGTGGACACACGCGAGTACGGTCGCTACGGACCGGCCTACGAGAATGTGCCCACGGCCAATGGTGAATATAGTCAAGATCGTGAACACGAGGTTGTGGAACTCCGGACGCGACTGTCAGCTGCTCTACAACTACTATCGGAGCGACTTCCGGCCGACACACAGAAAGGTAGACTGCCATTCGACTCTTTCCGGTTCATCCATTTTCCGCTTTTCTCATATCCAGTTCACCAGTACTTTGGCGTGTTCTTTGATTACTCGTTTTTAACAGGACCATATAACCGAATAGAGGTATTATTTCAGACAACCCACGCCACAATCCGCTCTTTCTTGTTTTTCGCTTAGCATCACTCCAGTCGGAATGCCCATAACACTCGAGTCCCGTATGCATGGTATGCTAGTCATTGGGTTTCGGCGACATGCAGTTGATTCCGAGGGCCACAAACTCGTCCACACGAAGCTTTGATTTCAGAAGCAGGCGTGCTTTACTTCGAAAAATACTTCTCTGATTGGCCGTGGGGAGACACCACCTTGCGACTTGTTAGTTTCATTACACGCCTGTAGTTACTGTCCAAAACTGACAGGTACTGGATAGTTAGAGCGCGAATTTACTAACCGAAAGTTCCGTGGTTCGAACCCGACCTCTGCCTCTCGACTTCCCCTGTCTAGGCTTGGGCAACCTGGCAGTATCCCAGCCCTCGTGCTTCCTTCGGGTAGTATGGAAGTTAGGCCCCGGAAGGGCGTTACAGTTGAGCAATTTCCCCGCGAACAGCACTCAAGCCCGTCTACTTGTCACTCCAATCCAAAAATGAAGTGTCCAATTGTGACATCTTTACAATGCAATCCGAAGAAAGCACGAGGTCCGAGTACCGCTCGACTTTTCAAGCCTAAACCGATGCATTCGGCAGATCGGAGGTGACTAGCTTACATTGACACTAAATGCGAATGCGATTTCTTCGGCTACCCGACTGAATTTCACCAATGAAATTCTCTAATCTTTGTTTCTGGATTGTCAACTTCAAAAAACCGGTCTCATATACGTCGTTTCTTAGTCTCCATAATTCAGGCCTAGTCCTGGCCTTAAAAATTCTTCGTACAGATGCATTCGCTGTTTATCTGTTCATGCACTTTGCAACCCCCTAATCTGTTCGTTTTAGCTCTGATTGCCACGAGCCAAATTGTCGAAAGCGAGCGTATCCAATTACAAGCCGAGCTCGAGCGCCGCATGATCATGTTCGAACAAAGTCACACCTCCTCAGTGGCCGAATTGGAGGCCAGTCGTCGTGCGCTTATGGAACAATTAGCCACAACCGAGGCCGAAAATGTGCAACTCAAAGACCAGCTGTCGGTGACGCAGCAAAAGTTGCAAGCAAATGTGAGTTGTGCAGACAAGTTGTTCGCTTTTTCCGATGCGGAGTGCTCGTTTGCAAAATTTAGCGAACATCGCAGGCTGTGGTTAGTCCTCAAAAGCTACTCTGTATGCATTTTGTCCTGGTTAGAACTCATCAGGTGGGTGTAAAAGTGGATCACTTCAGGTTGGTGACACGCTTTTCCATACAGTTTCACAATGGACTGTATTTTATTGGTCAGCATGTCTTATGAAGCAGCCAGGTCAGACCCTCACCTGTCCTTTTTGTAAGACAACTGTCGATGCACTACTTTCGGGGACACTTTGGTTGGCACTTTGTTTCACGCTTTTTTCAAGAATATATCGATGATAGTGTTTTGGAAGCTTTTTCATACTCGGTTGAGTTAGCAGATTTCAAGGGACAAATAAGGTAACGAAGGTATGATAAAGGGCGGACTGGATCGTAAACGGTCTAGCGGTACACGTTCATGAAGGAAACTACTCACAAGGTTGCTGAAAACTCTTCGACAGCCCACGGCCGGTTTCGCCCTTCTTGGGGCTCATCAGTAATCCTGTGAGTAGTTCTTTGTAATGAAATATGCCGCGGAATTTCGAATATCGTCCCAACTGAATCATGAGGCGGCCTGTGTGCAGCACATTCAGTTGTAGAATATCATAAACGAAAGATTCAGTTGAGTCTCTCGTGAAAACCAAATTGGTTTCCAAATGAGTGTATTTCTCGATCTAGCAGTATCTTTTGAATGGCTAGTAAGTGAGCTGGCTGACAGTATATCCAGCGTGGCTTTATTATCCTTCGTACACACCCCACATGCGGACATTTTTGGACTGCTTTCCGGTTGATGTAAGTTGCTTAAATCTGATCTTGGAGTATTAAGTGATTCTCGAACCGCACTCACTGATGCTTCACACTGTCACCCTCACCTGTTCCGTACTTATTAGGATCGTTTCATTGCGGAACAAACGGAAGAACGAGAAAGCGAAAGGGAAGAGTTTCGTACGGAATTGGCACGTCTGGAAACTCAGCTACGAAAAACCAAGTAAGCTGGGTATATTTCTTTCCGTTGTGCGAAGTTTCGAGTGCAGACTTCTTGTAAACTTGCTTTCCATACTTTGCAAAGTTAAACTGTCCAACTGGAGGCACCTCGTATTTGATTGTATCTCGGCTCATCGTGTGTACTCAACGACTCGCGAAAGAGATTCGTTTGTGGATTTGGCCGTCACTGAAATTTATTCTGATGGTAAGCGAGTGTAGACGGTGTAGAAGGTGGTGTTGCTTGTACAGGAACGGTCTCTACGGTGTACTAAAAGCAGGAGTCGGTAGGTCTACCCCGTTGAGCACGGCTGTGGTGATAGTTTTAGGCTGTAGACCATGGACACTAGAGAAATTTCTTATGTCAACTATAGCCGACCGTTAGCCTTATATGCATCTGGTTGTGTTGCGCTATTTCACTGTGAATTCTAGGAACTGCACTATTTTCAAAGCCTCTGGAATAAGCGAATTTGGAGCTACCCTACCTGGTAAGGTGGTAACGGGGTGATTAGAAAACAGGTATTTGGTTGTGCTACAGGCATCCCAATCCGGGAAAACATCCAGCATAATTGACTGCGATGGCTCAGTCATGTGCTACGCATGCCGAAACATCGTCTACCGAGACGAGTGTTGTTCTCCGTGCCTCCTTCAGGATGGCGCGAACCGCGAGGTGGACAGCACATGACTTGGCAGAAAGGCTGAAAGAAATCACGAAGAGTTTGGGTGTTGTTGGCATTGTACGCCTTCCAGGATGGGGTCCCCGTGACCCCGTCTGTGCTTGGCTGGAGACGTTGCAACAAATGGCGGCTAATCAATGTCAGTAGCGTTC